GTTCCGCGCGAATCGCGCCGATCGCGCTGCTACGCGACGCTGATCGCCGACATTGATGTTCTCGCGGTGCAAATCGTTCGCAGACCCGTGTATGTTTATCCACCATGCCGGATTCACGTCAATTTTTTTATATGAAAACTATGCGGAAACGAGATCCACGATGACGATTATCCCGTACGTCGCTTTATTCCCTCGCGTCGCGGCGGAGATATTTTTTACGTGCGTTAAAAGAGATATTTTATACACCAGTCGCGAGGATCGCGTCTCATTTTCGGTTTAACATTTCTTTTGCTCGAACATTTTTCATTAGCTAACGAGTTGCCCGTGCACATCGGTAATTGCATATACGTATATTGCATATACGTGGCTGTTACATTCATATTACCATGGAAATAAAACAAGTGCATTTTCGCATAAGTTTTGCACATAATTTGACACTTTTTCCAACGTCCGACGTTTTCCGATCATTAAATCGCCTTTGACGTGCAGTGATCTAAGTAAAAGCAATTTTATACAACGGGGCACGCGCTATCGTACATCGCTTTTTCACGGGCTGGTGTACCGCATTTCATTTACGTGAAATACGGGATAGGCCAATATTTCTTTCCCAGTAGCGCATTTATTTTTCCAGATAGCAATTCTAAAAGGTCTTTTATATTTAATAGTAAAATTAAGCCATATTAAATTTTATATTATTTTCGAAAAATTTCAAGCTTGAAAGTATAAACATGTTTACACGTGGATCCAAAGTTTTCGTATGAAAATTTCCATTTTTACGTTCTGCGATGTAGTTGTAATTATATTTTTTCATTTTTTTCATTTTTTCATATTTCAGTTTTTTTTCTCTTGTCAAACGCGTTAAATTTTTAAAAGAAATGGTAATAATATCCTCGATAAAATTTATAATAATGATAATCGATTGATCGCTCACATAGCAAGTGCATTGACTTTCATATTCTCTTCTCTGGATTCTAGCGCGCCTTGTAAAACCGTTCTCTTCGTTACGTGAAAACCCGCGTTTCGCCAGGCTTCGCCACCAATCCGCGCTGGGGATTTCCGCTAAAACCTTCGTTTCTACCTCGTTTTCACAAACTCCGGCGCGGAGTGACTGACGCGTTTGTCGGCTCGCGGCGATGGAAACCAACGACAAGCGCGGTAACCAAACTCCATTAATCAAGTGGCATTCGTCGCTTAATGAAAAGGCCAAATATCGCCCACCGTGAATGAAAGATAGCCGCTCGCGGAAACGATTCAAACTGTCGACGTAACTGCCAAAGCGAGCAACGTGCAAATTTCGCCATGACTATATGAGGGTGGGTAGACGTATCAGATTCCGCACGCCTCGACGAAGCAAATATCCCTATTGCGTCCAATAATCGATATTATCACAAAAGTAGCACGGCTATTCAGACTATTTGTATCAAGAATAGTCGCGGGATTTAAGAATTGTTTTATGCCTTATAACCGGTAGTATACCTAAATATAGAAAATAGTCACTATTTCAAATTCTACGATGGAAACTTAGAAAATCGAAAATTCATAAATCTCTCACCAGGGATTAGTGTGAGTGACAGTTATTCACACTTGATAAAATAAAATGTTGAAATCCTCAAAGATTTAAACGTCAGTATAGATTCAGAGTTGAAACAATTTCATTTTTAGAGACGTGACCAGAAGTGACCTATACGCGAAGAGGGACTTGAGTAAAATTTTTAGTGCCGGTCGCGCCAACCACTCTCTTCTTACAAGTTACGCGCCACTGTAAAAACTTAGTCTCACGGTATGTAATAATAGGCAAGAAAGGCCCAGGCCCGTATCTCGGGTTCTATTAAAAAACTTGAGGCTAAACTATTCTAATAAAATGCAGGTTGCACGTCGAAGGTATATTTGATCCTTTAAATATACGTTTAATTGAAAAAAAAAGTTATAAGATTCAGGCTGAATATTGCAGCAAAAAGAAAGACGTTTTAATTGCTATCTTCCAAGCATGATATACACACGAGTGAAGCGGAAGAATTAAAAGAACTTTCGAGAATATATAAAAAATTAATATAATCGTGACCGTTGTAATAATAATTACAAGATAATAACAACGTGATCAGCAATAATAATTATCATTGATATAATTAGAGATAGGTGTGATGCGCGTGTGATATTAATCCTCATTGAATACGACAAAAAGAATAGATTCGCATGAAGAGAGATAGACAGAGAAAGAGAGAGAGAGAGAGAGCGTAGAGGTATTTATATTAAATTGTACAATTTACATTTCGAATAATAAACGGTTTATCAACAAAATCATTGAGCAGCGAGATTCAAATTATAGAGATATATAGAGAAAAATAGAAACAATTGAAACTAATAATTGTCGCATTGTAATCCGCAGTAAAAGTTATATGAAATAATATATTTCATTTCTGTTGCTAGATTAATTTTTAACGGTAAGCACGGAAAAATGTATGGTTTTCAAAACTAATTCTCGCAGGGATGTATAATATATAATCGACGCATTCCGATGCGATATGTCGCATCGCATGCTAATTGTGCAATTAAATCGCGATTTAAATTTAATTCCTCCGCCTCTTAACTCGGTGTTTACTGCGCGCGTTGCCGATACGTCCGCGATACTTTGAATACACGATATCGGGCGTTAATTAAAATTCGATGTACGTCCCCCGGCGTTTTCGGTGTCGCGTAAATAAAGCAAGATTTCGCGCGTCACATTTGATTTTTATCCCAGGGCTATTTGGAGATATCTTACCCGACGTTCGCAAAATCGTCCTTCATATACGAGCCTCGCCGTATGCATATGCACATGAATCGGGGCTGATGTGTGCAAGTGACACGTGCACGTCCTCGTCCTCGTTCTCATCGTCCTCGTCGTCGTCGTCGTCCTCGTTCTCGTCGTCGTCGTCGTTCTCGTCGTCGTCGTCGTCGTCGTCGTCGTCGTCGTTGGAAATCAATTAGCCCGACATGCACCGGGATACGTGTAACACCTTCTGCCTGCCGTGTGCACGGAACACTTTTCGGCATTTAACACCAGACGGCATACACAAACATGCACACGTGTGCACGTTTATACGAGTTATTTTAGTAGCGTTGCCCCCGCACGATAATAGGATAACCCTCGCGCTTCTAGAATTTCATTCAGTGGTGAATCTCGGCGACCGCGCCGGTAACTTCCGGTCTTAATTACCGAGATAATGAGTCGGAAGACTCCAAATAACTACTTTTCGATAATACGCTAACGCGGCTAATGCGACACCGCAAGTACTATCGTTATATTCAACGAATTAATGTCTCGCGGCCGTATGGAAAAACGTAATTATCCCGACTGCCCGGCGCATATTCGTTTCGAATACTAGGCGAAATAATTACTAAATATAGATACGCTACTATTGGCTAGTTATATTATGCAGATAACATATCGTCGATCAATAAGCGTAACAGCTTCATGCATTCGTGGTAATATACCTAAACGCACTCATTGCTTAATATCAGCAATATTCTAACTCCATTATCATTGTACCACAAAATGCAATTGCATTCTATGACGGATTTCGATTATAGCTTAACATAATCCAACGGTTTGATGAATCTTTCGAAAGGCTTTTTGCGCACGCCAGCGATTATGCGTTTAACAGGAAGGAAAAATATTTTTGCGCATTCATTTACATAGCTTTCATAGCCGCAGATTATATTTTACTGTGCATTTTTTCCCAAAATTTCTGCTAATACCAGCCGCGGCTAATCAGACCTGGAAATGGAATTGCGCTCCGCTATTTTTCAGGCGGAATTTGACGAACGACCACGAGCCCGCCGGTGTCACGCGATGCTTTCGGAAGTCCGCGTACACATAAATGGGCTTGTCCGTTCATTCGCGCATTTCCAACGGACGGAATAGCTACGAGCCGGCGACCATCGGCCATTCAGCTTCGGGTTTACGCGCGTATGCACGTGTAATCCCCGCGGGGTTTATAGGCCACCATCGCGCGGCGTACACAGCGCGTTACATATCTCCGCGGTGATCACCGACGCTGGATTCTCGCTCTGTGTGTCGGGGCGCACCCCTCCCCCCCGGCCTGTCCCTCCCGTGTCGTTAATTAAAAGCCACCGCATCCTCCGCGACCGAGCCCGACGATCCGCCGCATTTTTAGTAGCTGTTTCCACCGCGCTCAACGGCAGGAGTATCTCTCGATCACGAAACTTCTTTACGCTTTACGATACTCGCGGTTGAGCGCACCGATAGAGACGTTATCGCGTCGGCACTCTCTCGCGCCGGTTTATTTACGGGCCGGTCCGCCAGTTCGGCGAGGAAAAAACAAGTGAGGAACGCTAGCGTTCATTACGAAATCGTCCAAACGGCTTAATCCAAAAACGAAATAAAAAAGAGGGAGAGGGGAGGGCAGGACCCGGCTCCCCCTCCCTGCCCCCCCCCAACGAGAGCGTGCCGGGACGAATTCCCATGCAGTTGGCACACGTCCGTGTCAACGTGTGATTTCCAGTTTACACGAGATCGCGTGCACCGTGTGGTGGCAACTGCATCATGCGCCACGATGGAGCGTTACGCGGCAGCGTCGAGGGTCAATATTATCCGGTCCCAAAATCGATCCATAA